ATGACGCAGATTATCATTAGTGCCACTCATCCATTTAGAAAAACCAACAAGGCTGTCAAAAACCATGTAGTTCCCAAGAGATCGTTTTGTATAAGAAATAAAGGAATAAAGAATAATGAGGCTGTTGGCGAATGCTGAAATTTACTCAGTGGCATCATCCTTAGATACACTAAATGGTTCTGTCACTGTCTCTGCGCCGCTATCGGCGATGACTATGTCCTTGCGTGGCTTATCTCGTGAGTCGGTGCTCGTTTGCTCAATCTTGCGCACTATATCCTGCAACAAAATATTGAAATTATAAGTCTGCTTTTTTTTAACATTTTACATCGTTTCTCTTCATTTTTTTCTCTCCAAAGTGAAAAGAAAAATAAAAAAAATTAATGAAAAGAACAAGCTTTACTTAATTAATGGAGTAAAGTAAAAAAGTGCATTCTCTGTAAGTTATTGTAATAATAACAAGTAAACAGTGTTCTTCCCATTCTCCTTTGATAATCTTGCCAAAGATGACACGTAATAATAACAAATAAACATTGTAACAGTGTTCTTACCATTCCTTTGATAACCTTGCCAAAGACGACATGTCTACCATCGAGCCAAGGTGTTTGCTTAACTGTGATAAAGAATTGAGACCCGTTGGTATCCTTGCCAGCATTGGCCATGGACAGCCATCCAGCGCCATAATGCTTCAGTTTGAAGTTTTCATCCGCAAAGCGATCTCCATAGATGCTGCGACCTAACGAGTAGATTATAGATCAGCTATCAAAATCAAATGTATCTGTGTTAAACCAGGTTAAAACTCAGCTCAGGTTCAAAACTCAGCTAGCGAACTAATTACTGGATGCTTTCCATTTATGCCTGTTTCTACCAATGTAAATCAACTTTAATTTCGACCCAGCTTGCTCTTTTTTTTAATTTTTATTAGAAAAAGTAGAAAAAGTTAGTTGAACCGAGATTAAAACTAAACTACATTGGTAGGAACGGGCATTAATAGTACAAATCAACACAAACATCGCGTTCTATCTTTTTGAACATTCAGTAACAAAAATAAAACGTTATCTGTGCATACACTTGTGTTACCAAATAAAAAGTATCTGCTAT